GCGTTAACAAAATATAAAAAACGTGTACATAGTTTGTGTATAGTATGTATTTATATAATCATTATAATTTGTAGTAAAGTATGATATTAGTTATGTTGAATATACAGTTAATTCATAGTTAATAGGACAAGAGTATGTCATTTGAATTAAAAGAATTAAAAAAGCGTAAAATTCCATAATAACGTTAATGAATAGAATTTATTTTGGGCTTATTTATTTGTTTGGGAATATGAGTTTATTCATTCTAAAACTATTTCTTTTATTATAAACTAAGATTTTATATATATGTATACATTTTTTTTTGAGAAAGTTTATATTACATGACCTACATAAAAAAGAATTTTTGTAGTTTGTAGCATTAAATAAGATCAATAAAATAATTGTATGAATTTAATTTAAAGCAACATAGAAGCAACAATATTTCATATTTTACAATTTAAATTTAACATAAAATATTATAATTTCCCGTTATATTATTATTTTAACATTAAATACAGCTGGATAGTAATATTTGAGAATATATTTTGTGCATTCTGTATTCGATATACATAAATATTATTATTATGTATATGTATGGAAATTTTTAAATTAAATTTTCTTCTCCAATCTATTGGAAATATTTATACATACTGTCGTCATTACTCTTCTAAACGGATAAACCAAATATAATTCTCAATATTTTTTTTTATATTTTTGTATATTATTCCAAATTTCCAAATAAAATGGAACAAAACACATACACAAAATTTTTATTTAAATTAAAAATACTTTTGATATTTAAAGGTATTCTTTTGATATGAATTTTTTTTCCAATAGTTCCTAACATTTCCAATCAAAATGTCAATTCCAAACAAAATCCGGTGGATTTTAAAATTGTTATTAATGAGCTTATATTGTATCTACATAATATTCGGAAGAAAAGAAATAATTTCATTTAAAAAAAAGAAAATCCAATTTAGGGATTCCGGTTTTTCGTATTTTTAGAATCTAATTTTATGAATTCTTATACTCTTGTACGAGTTCCATATAAACATAGTTAAAATATTTTTCTCATACTGAATTTTTAAAATGCATCTACCAAAATTTATAATTAAAGTAATATAAAAAATAAAATACACAAAAAAATTGTTGTAAAGAAAATTCTATACTTAATGCTAACTTACATGTACATACATATGTACAATAGGCAAATATTTTACCGTAAAAACAATCTTCTCCATCATTAATTTTATTTACACGACACGACGACTTTAGCCTCAATGATTGACATACTTTTAATTTTCCTTGACTAAAAAGCATTTCCACAAAGGGAATTGAATGTAAATATTTCAACCATTGATGTCAAGTTGCCGTCGTATAAACAAATACAGGTATTCACATTAAATACAAAATAGAAATAAAAAACGATATAGAAACTTATATGAAAACATGAAATCTCAAATCTACATTATACAAGTATGCATTATAATAATTGCACATATTAAGTATGCAATCGTATGAAAAGCATTTCTTGTAATATTGATGTAATTTTGATTAAAAATGTTAAAATTATTTGCAATTGTAATGTGTAACCAACCCACCATTATCCAACAATAAGTTACAAAAAAATTATGAATCATCCATTGCGATGAAGTAACATGTACTGAATTAAAGCAGGCGATCAGAAATCTCAGACTAAAAATTTACAGTGAGTACATCGTTTTATTTTGTGTAATAACAGAAAGTACTTGAAAAAAAAACAAAAATATATGAAAATAAAATGAGATGAAAAAAACAAGTACAAGAGAACTGTGAAAAAAAAAACATAAAGACTCAGACTAAGTACTTGATCAGGCCAACAAGCAACAACCAAAATCATATTTTATAGCATACTGAATTCTCCTCTTCTAGTTTTTTTTTTTGCTTTAACATTTTTGCTTCTTTTTCAGTAACACGTTTCTTTGACAGTATTTAAAAATTACAATACAAAAAAAAATGTTTATTCATACTTTACATGCATACGTCTTCATCCTCGCTTCTTCTTTCAAAAAAAAAAAACAAGTACAAAACATTGTCCCCCCTTTTCTGCTGGTAATAAAACCAATAACATTTTTTCCATTTTTATTTTCATACTTTTATTATATTGTGCTCATAGCAAAATCAAATACCAATGCAATTCTAAAAAAAAAAAATTATTTTTTTTCTTCGCAATTTATTATATATTGAAAATTTGCAAAAAATCAGAAAATCTTGTAATAAAAATAAAGCAATACCAAAACAAAAGGAACTATATATGTTTTTATGTATACATACATGTATGTGTATGACAACATAATATAAAAATACATTGTGAAAAATTTAATGTATAAGTTAAAATTGCAACAAGTGCAAATGCATGTAAATCAACATTTATACACACACATACGTGTGTAAGTACATACAGAATCATTACTGAAAATTTTATGTGGAAATTATTATGAGCTCCACGAAATACTAAAATAAGAAAGAAAAGAACAAAAAAAAATGGATGTAAGAGAGAAAGCTTCATTTTTTTTTAAGTTTTTTTCTTTATTTTTATTTGTTTTATATGCAGTCTATACGTAGATATTCACATCATAATTATTGTAGTTGGTTTGCCTTTTATAATATTCTATTTCGCGAGCAAATTGCAATTTCATGCAATACGAGTATGTACAATTTAATATTTTTATTCATATGTAGTACTTTTGCTTCTAAATACATACATATATATGTATAATAATGAGATTTCACTATAAACATCTACACATAATTATTATTATTTTGTTACTATATACATAAGTGATTACAATAAAGTATTTCAATTATTTTTTTTGTTTTTCTGTACTGAGTTTGGAGATACCATCATTTGATTTTATTGCAATGCACATGAAAGAGTTAGAAAATGACAATTTTCAATACATCTGTTTCGGGGATATGTAACTTATATCAGAAAACGTATAAGGATAACAGAATAGTGTTGTGGAAAATCTTACAAGAAATTTTTTTTTTCCTTCTCCATTTTTACTTTTTTTTTACTTTTCAAGGTAACACAGAAAAAAAAAAAGAAACAAAAAAATGAAAAATAGAAATAAAATTTGCGGTTTACAGGTTCAAAGCGAAATAAAATGAAACTTTTTCTTTTATTGTGTATAAATTTACTGTATCTATAGAAAATTTTCTGCTTTTCTTCATTTTAATTGTATACCTACATGCATAAATATAAAATCGCATATTATGTTGTATTATGCATATGTATATTGTAACTCACCTAATATTGAAGGTGAATTTTGTAATAATGCTATAGACACCACAATAATGTTTTATTATTTTTTACTTCTAAGATTTTGTAATGCATAACTAGGTATACATACATATGAATTTGTGTTTATTATTGAAAAAATCACCTGTTGAATAGAAATTATTGAATTTTCTTTTGGTATTTTCTAAAATTAAATTTCAATTACATTTTATATCTATTATTATGGAATTGAATATAAAAACGAAAATTTTGTGATTACCTTTTAGGTTAATTATTTTATTAATATAATTATGTTTCAATTACTTCTGGGTATACAGAATGTTTTAAAAGGGCGTGTATTCAAAGTTGAAATTCAAATTTTCTAATGTTTAGAAATTAAATTTAAAAAACATTTTTATATGAAAAAAAATCTAGTATAAAATAAGAGAAAAATTGATTTTCTCAAAGAATTTTTTTTTTAATAATTTATTTATTCATTTAAAATAGTCACATCTTTACCAAATTCAGTGCAATTTTTTCTAAACCGTGTTATACTTATTTGGTTATTTTTAATTTGTTGACTGGTCACAGCTTTTAAAATTTTTACCAACTGTATTGTATACAATAAAGAAGGAAATGTGATGGCACCAAATTTTGGATGTTGAGTTTTCGTTAGGAACGCTCTTCTCTATGGTAGGGAAGCGTAAATGAACTACTTGTAGAGAGATGTCGGTCTCTGTGTGTACGCGTGTATCTAAAGTTTGGCTGAACCGATTTTGATGAAATTTTATATGTTACTTTGTTTTGACTATGGCACGGATTGATCAACTTTTAGGATATATCAGACCTCGTTAACTGGAACGTTTTGCAGGCCAATTTCACATTTTTTCGTATATAAACAGAAATAATCGTCCAATTTCCTTGAAATTTAATTTTTAAATTTGGAATATTAAAAAAATTTAAATGTAAATTTTTTGAAATGATCAGGTTCCGGAAAGCGAACTGGTGGCCGATTTTACATTTTTTATTTTTTTATTTTGGTGAACTTTTCAGATAATTCGGGTTCCAGAAAGCAAGCCTCTACTAAGAGCCAAATTTACATTTTTCTAGGTATGTTAGCTAAAAGCTTGTTAACTTCCTTAAAATTGAAAGGAAGCGTTCAATAAGCATTTCCATAATCTTTTGTAACACTTTAACTAAACTAGGTAATATTCATTGTAATCGGTTATGTGCTGATTACATAAGATTTTTTGATTTATCTACATAACAGAGCACTGTAACAAATTAATGAAATGATTTACAAAAATAAGGTGAAATATGATATAAAGTATGATTTGTTCTCTAAACATTTAAATTATAGAATTTATTATTACAATTATTTTGCTTTGTTTTTATAAATCCTTAAATACATTTAAAGTAAAGTATGCCTTTTTCTCTCAAAATTTATGTTTTTTCAATATTCCATAATGAGATTGAGGTAAGAAAGCTCAGGTGGTAATTTGTAAACTACAGCATTCAATAAATAGGACCCATACACTTAAATTTTAAAAAAATTTAAAAAAAAAAAAATAATTATAATATTTTTTCTTTTTAGTTCATATCTTAAACTTTATTAGAGACCATTAAATTTATTAAATATATTATTTCTAAATACATATAGTTAATTACAAGTTAAATATAGTTAATTACATAATATGATTTTTATCACAGTTTTGAAAAAAATTTTCATCTTAATTTAATAATTTTTTATGCATAAATATGCAATGATATGTTTAAGTTACAAATTTTATGCAAATTTTGATATGTATGATTTCACAATATAAGTTATTCTAAAATACAATATTAATTTTTCTTCCCTATATTATATATAGAAATTAAAAAACAAAAAAAAGTAATAATACATAAATAAATAAATAAAAGAAGTAGTAAAATTTATTTATAACAGCTATTTAAAATTCATTTGATTTTTGAACAGTACAAGCATCTTTAAAATTGGATGCATTTAATGGAGAAAAATAATCTTCATGTAAAAATCGAATAATATTTTCTATTGGACATAAATCAGCTTTATTTCCTCGACTGTCTCTTGTCACTCTTAAACTTTTTCCCCCTTCACAAAAATCGATTTGTTGTGTTACATCTTTACCATTGTAAACAGCACGAAAATAATAATCTGTTTGACTATTATAAACCTCAAAGCTTAATCTAGCTGCATATGGAATAAAAGTTACACCTTCTGTATTAATTCCCAAACTTGCTGTTAGATATTGCATAGTCCAATCGTGGCCAGAATATAAAACAAATTTTGTTCGATCACCTGATATTATCCTTAACATGAAACTTACAATGTGCCTTATCATTCCATATGCTCTCAACATTCCAATTTGCTTATAAAATTTATGATTTACTTCTTTAGAAGATTGCCAATTTGTATATGACATTAAAGCAGCAATATGACTTTGTTCTATACAACTATCAAATTGAGTATTAGCTTCATTATTTTCATTATCATTTACTATATCAATATTAACTTTATTTACTTCACCATTATTTAAAGAATTAAAATTATTTTCATAATTATTTGATGAAAGTATTTCATCCTGATCAATATTTATTAAATCATTTGGTTCATTTGATGAAGGTCCTGTTGTTGGATATAAATTTTTTCGATTTTTATTAAGATTTTTTTTATTATTTTGGCATGGAAGTTCTGCATCATGACAAATTAAACTTAAAACTGCATCCATTACTTCGTGCGGAGTTTTGACTGTATTCGACGGATGTTGTAATAATGATTTTCCAATCCATTGTACTACAGCTGAAACAGCTGCATGCCTTTGTAAATTTTCATTTGATTTCAAAGCTAATTTTTTCCTTAAAACGTCTGCTTGTGGACAGGTACAATCTAGAAAACAAAATGCCATACTATGTGATTCTAATACATTTAAAGAAAGCCATTTTTCGGGTGGTAAAAACGTAAACATTAAAGCCATTGCAGACTGGAAAGTTCGGCGGTATCTAGTCGAATATACTATTACTTCGTCTGAATTTAAAAATGTATTTGGTGTTGAATTTATATTTTGCCTAGAAGAGGGAAGAGATCTTGTGTACAATCCTAACGGACGCAAATATACTTGCTGTATAATTTCACCGATGTGCAATAATTGTGCGATACCCCTAAAATATAAATAGTTTAAAAAGTTAATTTTTTCTCTTTTTACAAAATTTTAATTTTATTTAATAAAAAATATCTATCTTCTTACAATTTACAGACTTAAAAAAATGTGTTATATTATTGTAAGTATAGGAAAATTTATTTGAGTTATTTATGGGTAAAAAAATACAAATTTATGGTACAAAAACAAAATTTCTTCAAGTAATGGCATAATGCCTATAATAATTTTTAAAATTTTGAATTTGTATAATTGAATTTTATATATGCAATTATCTTATAGAATAATTATAGAAACATAGTAATATTTGAGCATTTTTTATCAAAAAACACAATTCCTAGAAGAACTAATGCTATACATAAAACCATACATACTGAAATTTAAACATAGTAAAAATATTTTTTTATTAATTTAAAAAATTTAAATATTAATTTAATTTAAAAAAAAATTTTCTCAACTTTAAATACACTTATATGATAATATTAAACCCTGTATTAATATCAGAATTACATAAATTTGCCATAAGTCTTATTTATAATTATTTCTAATTATAATTATATATTTAATTGTTTTTTAAAAAACAACTTCAACCAAACACCTCCAGACAAATTATATTTCTTCAAACACGAAATTCTTGTTTTTGTGCTATATTAACGCAGGATTAGGTTTCTTAAATTTTTAATTTAAATTATTAATACAATTGTGTAAACTTCAATAGGACATTCAATAGACATTCAATACTTACTTATATGTCAACTGTCCTAGTAAACATGATTTTTCTAAAGATGGTAATAAAGAAAACCCATGAAATGGTCCAATTTTATTCCAATACATATGATTAGTACCAGACGGATTTGTGGAATTAATTAAAAATGTTTTGTATCTACAATAAAAATTATTCTCTTACAAGCAATAAAAATTTCAAAAATGTTATTTAAGCATAAAAAGCATGCAATTATAAATATGTAAATATGTTCATAACTATTGAACATATACTGACTTATGAACAAGCATATCTCCTTCAATACCGCAATTTACATTAGAAATTCCTCTAACATGGGACATTGGTCCACGATCACCATGCCTATAAAAGAAAAATATTATTGCCAAAAAAAGCTTATTTATTTACAAAAACAAATTGTTTACCTTATAACCATGAGGACTCCTTGCAATTTCCATCCATCCAAAATTCCACCATCATCTTTCCGTGCAATATTTTCTATTGGACTACATCTTTGTTTATATTTCCTAAATTTTGAAGTTTCTTCGTCATTAATCGTTGATAAATACATTCTCTTTCCATGAATGAATGTTATTCCATTCATAATTTTTGTATTCCCAATATATTTATACATCCCTAAAAAATAAATTTTTCAAATGCACATTTTTTTTTATTTCAATAGATATGATTATTTTAAATATTTTAATAATTTATATTAATAAAATTACCAGCAATCAAAAGAAATATCCAAAAACTTAAAATTAAGTAACAATAAAGTGTTCTATGTTGTGTAGAAAAACGAATTAATTCTTTTAGAAACATTTTATGAATAAACATAAAAATAAACTAAAAAGTACTTATAAAATAACAAATAAATGCAATCCCTTTTACTATAATTTTAAAATAAGTTATTTTTATAATTTTTTCAATTATTGAAAACAATGAAAAAAATAAATAAATATGAAATTAGAACACATTTACTGACATTATTGACTTGGATATATTGACAAGAATAAAAAACAAAAGAATTTCTTCGAAATGCTGGAATATTTTGAATAGAATTGGAATTGCGCAGTAACCAAAAAGCAATCATTTGAAATATAGACTCCATATGTGCAATATTTTCAGACCATATGATTCTAATAAATATAATTTTTCCATCAAAATTCAAACTTTTGAATATGAGTTCAAATTTATAAAATAAATTTAAATAAAATATATTTTTTAATATTAATAATATTAATCATTTAATTTGTCTGTTATAGGACTATTGTTTCTTTATCAGTTGTCTATTGTGCTTTTTTCCAAATTATAAAATGTTATAATTTAAAATAATATTTGCATTAAACGCACTATATAAAATTCATTTTACAGAAATATTAAAAATTACAAATTAAATTATGATTTCAAATTCATTATTCCATACCATAATTATGAATTGTTTTGAAAAATTGAAGAAATATTAACATTATTTTAAATATTTAAAAAAATGCACCATAATTGGTACAATTAAAAATTTTTATATTACAAGTCCCTTACCATATAAAACTATATTTAAAAAAAATAAACGTTGAACTTACATTACATTCATGGTATGAAGATTTTGTGCAATTAACAAATTGATCTTTGGCAACTTTTGCATCTAGCAAAATCTTTCTTTTTCTATTTTATCCGAAATGTCACCAACACAAACTTACCATTTATAGAATTTAACGAAAGTAAATACTTAAGCTTTTTAAATACGATCGTATCGTAGCACAGTTAGCATGACATGACAGTTCCCTTAAAATGAAATGTCAGATGCACCTGGGCTGGATTGTAATTTAAATAAGCAAATTTAATTTATTTCTAATTTTAGTTTAAAGTGCGCGTATCTTATGAAATACATCTAAAATAAAAAAAATGATAAATAAAATTATTAAAAAATAAAACGGGAAATAAATATATTCAAAGACAATTGTTATAATAATCTTCATTGCAATTTGTGATTTTTTGTTGTTTTTTTTTCTTACATTTAACGTATAAGTTAAAACTTTTTATAATTGAACTTTCTATATTAGAATGATTTTTGACCGAGATGTAAAGAATTATGAGCAGACAACAGGATAATGTTGATCAGAAGAATCAGGCAAGGATATGTAACATGTAAGTATTTTTATTTCAAAAACAACTCTTGTACGTTGTAATTTGTTGTTTTTGGTTTTGCTTTTAGGTTCCATGTATTCCAAGAATTCATCCATCCTAAAATCTATGAATTTTATTATTATATGAAATTATAATTCATCCGTTATAAATCCACGAATTTTATCTGAAATTGGTGAGTATTTGTTAAAAAACTAAGAATATTTAATTCATAATAAATAATAAACTTATGCTTACTCATATAGTACATACATATACATTTTATCCAAATAAAATATTTATTTTTATTCAAACTTTCTATTAAAAAGAATAGTTTTATTTCAATTTCGAATTTCGTTCATTTCGAATTGTTTTTTTCAAGAAATCAAACTATTTTACTAAACTAAAACCATAATTACAAGAGATTTTATTAGAGAGAAAAAATCTATTAGCAGTCTATTCATTTAATACTCTATGATCTTACTTAAAAAAGCCTAACACAATAATATAGTATAAAAGTTTTTTATTTGGTTTGTATCTTTGCTTTTGACATTTATTCAAAAACTGCAAATATATTACATTCACTTAAAACGTCATTAAAGTCAAATCATATGAATTTTACGTACATTTGTAGTTGTCACTTGATTATTAAAAAATTTATGCAGAATTTTGAAATAAAAAAATAATAATATTTAGTTCTAATTCTATCATCGGTGAAATAATTTTTAGTTTACCTGTTTATACAACAAAAACAAAAAAGAGTGAAATAAAAATAAACGACTTATGAAAAAATGTGAGTTGATTTTTAAAAAAAATCAAAGATAAAAATAAGTGTGAAAATAATTATGCATAATTTGATTTAATTCTTAAAATCATTGTTGAATAAGCAATTTCTTGTGTATTTAAAAGAGTTTTTCTATTTTTACATTGCATAATAAAGAGGTAATAATAAGGAATTGGTAAATGAAATTTAAATATGATTTTTTTACAATGAGAAAATATTTTTTTTTTTTTTTGGGGCTAATATACCACAAGTAGTTGATTTTTAGTTTGACCTTCGCTGTTTCTAGTTTAAGTTTTATTACTTTCTGTAGAGAATTATACTTATATATATAGTATATAATTTTTATACATATGCGTATACATTTTAAAAGTGAAGTTATTCAGTAATTACTCGTGAAATAATATTGTACGTCTAATTTATACAATCTATAACTTTATAAGCTTAACTAAAATGGCTACTATGAAATGTGAACACTGTCTATAACTAAGTGTTTAGCTACATAAAAAGTAATTAGTTCATTAGATTACCATATTTTTTGTAAGTAAATGCAATTGATTATCACTTTCAATTTCTATCTAGTTAGTATTATTAAATTATTTGTAGTATTTATATCTCTTAATGTTACATAACAAATACAAAAATAAAATTAATTTGAGTGTAAAATAAGTAAATAATTCGGTGTCTTTTATTCTATTGTTTATCACACCACGTGAGTTTTTTATTATAAAACAATTATGAAGACCTTTAACATTATGTATATACATAGGTACATAATATGTATATTACCTACCTACCAAAATTTCGTTTAAGCAATAAAGCCTGCTTATATTATGTCATTCACCTAAATATAGCTTGTATTGAATCAATTATTAATTTTCTCACATTCATATCTTTTTATAAAATAAAGAGAAAAAAGAATAAATGGATTTACATAATTTTTTTTTTATATTTTTAAAAGCACTGTATCCATGTTCTGAGACGTATAACTTTTACCGAAGCATTTCTACATAAAATAAAGTGTTTATTTAGGTAGCTAATAATTATACAAAATAATATTGTAATGTTATGATGCAATTAAATGCATAATAGTTACACATTGTAATATTAGATAACAAAATTATAAATAACTGATTTCGGAAAGATGATAAAATTAAGAAAAAGAAATAAGAAAATTGAATTAATTTTTAATTCTTTTGAAAGTGAAAATGTGAAATTCCTTATTATTTTCATTAGCTAGATAATTCATTACAACTTGTTATAAATTGGCGCATATTTAATATTCAACTTAGTAAGGGCTAAAAATTAACTAAAACTATTAATGATTCTTCTAGCCAGAGTATAGAAGCAAACGATAACAAAAATAGAGAATAATGAACTATCAATAATTTGTTATGTAGATAAGTATGTAGGCACATATCATTAATTGTTCCTGCCATCTTAAGTACGATTTTGTTTTCACGACAAATCAGCAAATCAGTTTTCTTTTTTATTTTGTCATTAATTTTCTGTTTTGTTTTTCTGCATAGTTGCAAAATTTATAAGAAGATTTACTTATATTACATACATGTATGTAATAACTACAGTTTGAATATATAATGTCTATAAGAAAGAAAAAAAAACATAAAATTGAGTGCTATTCTAATTTTTTGTATTTTAAGTATTTAGGAATTTGTTCACACCTTTTTCTAACAAAGAAAATTTAAATTAACTTTAAACCAAAAATCAATTATTTTATATAAATAAAATGCCCTGTAAATAGGTATGTACATATGTATTTAAGTTTGTATTTGTACCTGTAAATAAATTATCAGATATTGATTAAATATAATTAATTTTTATTTCTTTAAATTTCGGTATTTTAATTCAATTACACCATTATCGCGAAAAGATTGAAAATATTTTACTTTTTAAAGCCCATCTGGCATTGCTAAAAAATTAAAAGTACTGAATGCAAATAAATGTAGAATAAAAATTTAAGTACCTACCTACTTAACACAAATTTTTTAAATAATTGCATTTTTACCTAATATGTTCTTAAATAAGAATCATAATTAGGTATAGTAAAAAAATGTTTTTGACAAAAAAAATGACATTGAAAAAAATCGCAAAAATTTTATTTTTATTTTTTTTTCATTAAAATTTTTTAAGTATACAATAAAAAATTATATTCAATATATCATCAAGATAATAGGGTAACTGACTGAGAAGTAGAGATATTTAAAAACGCAATACTGCAAAACGTAATAAGTATTGCCAAAGCATTGATATTTTATGCAATATTGTATTTTTTGATTATTCTTCAGAAATAAAACTGTATGATATTCGAATGGTTTAGAGGGAAAAGATTTTCGTATCTTACTAAAGTTATGCTTAACTCATTTACTTTCAAAGAACGGATTTATGTCACATCGAAAAAATAACCACGCAAATATTAAATGCTAGCATAAAAATATTTTGCAGAAATTATAATATCTGAAATATATCGAAAAATTTATTAAAAAATTACTTTATTTTTAGCTTTATTGATAAATAGGCAATATTATAATTTACAGAAATATAAAAAAAAATTTTTTACTTACTTTTTAATATTAAAAATTTTATCAATCTTGAAATACAAAAAATTTTTTATACGCGCAATTTTTTTTTTCAATATTTTAGCGGCCTTTTGATTGTTGCATCATATAGTTATGTATATATATATATATATTTACAGTTATATATACACATAAATATATTTTTATATGTATGTATACAGTTTTACTATAATATACTTAGACATACCAATACAAATTATTTACAAACGATTTTTTTTTCTTAAATACAAAATAAAGCAAAAAAAAATTAAAATTTAAGACTTTCAAAAAAAAATTTGAAATATAAATTGTTATAAAAAGAATAATATTTTTTTTTTAAATTTAATTTAACAGTCTCATTCCATATTATAATAAAATTTCTCAAAATAATGTTAATTTTTCATCATTGCGTAAATACAAAATAAACTTTATAAAATTTACATTGCATATTTTTTTTATAAAACGTGAGAGTAATATTTTTCAAGCATTATAATTTTTTTACAAAATTCAAACATTGCATGAGTATTGAAAATATCTTATTTTCAACAAAAGTCTAATATTTAGAATAACGGTATTTTTAACAGCTTGCAAATTTTAGCATTAACATAACAAATGTTTTTTTAACTTAACACGTTTAAATTTTTAGTTACTATTTCTTTTGGTTCAAATACTGCAGTAACATTTACTCATGTGACTACTTATACGATCGATCTACATTAAGTATGTGAAATTTACAATGATCAAACAACTTTTATATTTGCCTCTGAATTTATAACGGCTTAAGTAATTTTATTCCTAATAAACTAGAAAAAAGCTAAGTACTTTCCTTTAGTTAGACTTAAGATTTTCTACAATGAAAAACTATTTTAAACCAATTTCTATCAATTATTTGAAAAATTTCAAAATTTCCATTCAGATAATCTTTTAAATAAGTGTATATTACCTCATTTCCGAAAAAAAAATATTAAAACATTTTCATTCTAATATTCTATTTATATTTCTATTTCTCTTTTTTATTTATTTATATTTAGATTTTCTTTTAAGAAAAAAAAAAAAAATCTTAATAACTTTATTTTCAAAGAGAAACGATCTAATTCATTAGTCAAGATAACAACTAACTATACATAATAATTATGCAAAATTATGACATCAAGGTCAAAAATAAAATTCACTCCCTATAATTCGAGTATTTCTAAATTTAAAAAACAAAAGTTCTAAGTGTCGGTGATTGTCAGTGGTCATTTATTTAATTATAAAGTCAAAACATTTTCAGTTTTTCCACTTAAATAAAAAATAAAACGCGCAATTCACAATAAGAAATGGAAAACAACAATTAAATATATAGAATTAAAAGAAAAGGGCTGTTGGCTTTTTCATGTGAAAAATAATCGATAACTCATAAAAATCGATATCGATAAAATCAGATTACATTTTGGGTACATGTTTTTAATTGATTAGAAATAGGACTAATATTATTTAACACATTAGATCAGAATCGTTGAGAATTTTATTTTTGTTAGGAAAATGCATGTTTGCATAAGGCGGGCAACTGTAATAACCTCAAGTACATACATACATTATGTATATTATTTTGAAGTACATTTACACAAATTTTTTTAAAAAGATTAAATAATTTAACTTTCAATAAAAATGACTTAGTATCTCTGTTCTGTTTTGCAAATGCTCAACTTAACAACCGAGTTTCCCTCACATTTGCAAAATTTAAAGGCTTAGAGAATAGCATATGGGGTCTCTCATTGCTACAGCCTTGTCAGTCAGTTTTGATTTCATTTTTGATAAATGAATTTTTTCAACTGTCGCATGAATGAAGCTCAGGGCTCGAAGAACGGAGGATTCGAAGTCGATCTTTCTTGCAGACCGTTCGACTGTTGAACTTCTTCCAGTTCAAGATTTTATAAATTTATTATCAAACCACCATTAAAGCAATTTTACAAGGTGTCTAGTAAGCTTTTTACTACATAAAAGCATTGTGCAAAATAAAATAAAACTAGTATTTTCGCTTATCGTTCTCCTCCATCTGTAGAAATCTTTGTTTATTAAAAGATAAATCGACGTCTTTTTTGGCCGATTCGCAGATCTGATTTGAATATTGACCCATTCAACATAGTTTTTCAAAACAATAACCTATATTTCAATTAATCGATTTTAACACCTATATAATAAGTACAATAATCCATTATTTATAGTAATTATGAAATAGAAAATAAATTCAATCGATTTCAACATTTTACAAGTATATTTATTTTATATTTTAGGTTTTTCTTTTAGTCTCACCTGTTTTTATAAAATAATTTTTCATTTGTTTATCACAATTTTCATTTAATTACCGTTCTAATATTAAAATATTAAAAAATATCAAAAATAAAACTTTTATTTTCCATTCAAACGCCAGATCTTATTATAATAACAAATTATTATTTACATTAATTAAGCTATTCAAATCACATTATCTAGAATTTATTAAATAATATATGTACATACATATTATGATTATAAATCGTACAACAACTTTTAATAATGAAAATAACTAAATAATTATAATTAGTCTTTGAAATAAAACTGATTACGCTCTTAAAATTTTAATTGCTTATGCTAAGTAATTGTTTTTTAAGGTAATTCGGGTATATTAGACGTGATTTGAATTTCTTACTCAAAAAAAAGAGGTACAATTCATTCCTCTCTTTTATATTATTTTATTAAATTAAAAATATTTTAAGCAAGTACTTGTCGTAAGTAAAATATTTTTGTTTTTAGATAATATGTAATTGATTTAAACACGAAATTAATTTGACTCTCAATTAAAATTATTTATGATTACTTCTCAAATGGCTGGTTAATTAAAGATTAATCCTAATAATATTTGAAAAGCTTGAACTTTTTCCTTTATTACAACTTTGGTTTTGATCGGTTTCAAACACATTTTTAGTTAAAATTATTGATTTTTAAGTTTTAGTATAAAGTATTTAATTCGGTCTAGTAAAAATTTACGTGTCCCGATTTCGGTCCTATAAGCGTAACAAGTTCAGTCCACAAATCATTTGTATTTTAATGGTTCATGTTTATAATAACAATTTATTGTCATTAAGAAGCACAAATATGAAATATTACATTTTTTTGTTTTTTATTTGGTATTTTCTAACAATTTGATAACATACTCACTCAATTTCTATCTATATATAATTATTTCCTCAAGAAAAAAAATTAATAAGAAAATAATTAAAATAACACGTTTCAACGCTGATATTATTCCTAATATGATACTAAGTCATTTTTTAATAATAATTCTTAACCCTATAGAAAAAACATAGGACCGAAAATGGCTTTTATGTAAATAATTTTAATACACGACTTATTCAAAAATTTGAAAGTGCTCTTGATGTTAATTCTGATCGTTTAAAATTTTACAATTATTGATAAAATATTTAAATATTCTTCAAATTTCGAATATTTTGACTAAATTCGCAAATAAGTTCTGTAAAAAATGACATTTTTAACAATCTTTCTTAATCTTTCAGGATGAATGTCAGTGTTAATTTACAAGTATTTGTAGCAACACTTGTAGCAAGTATTTTGAACAATATTGATAGCAATAAAATACTTGGTATCTTTTAAAAAAAGCTCTAGACGCTTTTCATTTTTCGATTTCCAATTGTTGTAATTTTAATTGTTTAATTCATTAATAATTAGATTAATTAATAATAATCAAAAATTAAGTAAATCAAACAGTTTGTTTACTTATTAAAAACTATCACTTAAAAACAATAAATTGATAATAATTGTATAAATTTTGTTATAATTTTTTTATTTTTCTAAATAATAATAATTAATTAGTTAAAATAAATTTTCAAATACATACAAATTTTTTTAAAATATCATTGTGTTTAGATTTCATCCAGTTATTTTCTCACAAAATTCTACTTAAGTATATTTTTTAATTACCATGAAAATGAAAAAAAGCTTTGCTAATTAGTTAAAATACATGCAAGTAAATAAAATGTGACATAAAAATTTTAATTTTATACAAAAAATCTTAATTTCTAATACAAAAAGCTTTTAAGAATTAAATAATAATTTGATTTTTCGCGTGATTGAAACAACATTTGAGTTATCTAACTTTTCAATATAAAATTTAATGGGTATATGTAGATGTTTTCAATTTAAATGAAATTCATAATTACCCATTTATTAATTAATTTCATAATAATTTAATGACACATAAATATAATTATTAAATAAATAATATGTAGGTGAAAAATTAAAAAGTTAGCGTACTTTAATATAAATAGGAAAATTTGTATTAATTTTTTTAACTCATATTGTTATTGTTCGATTCCGAATGAACATAATTTGCATTAACTAATTTTAGGTTTTCTTTTATTAAGAACTAATTCATAAATTAATTAATATTTTTTCGAAGGAAAACTAAATTAATGGCAAACACAGGAGACATCCTAATTTAAGGTTTATTAGAGATTTTCCTGTTGTGTAACAATTAGAACATTAAGTAGTTTAAGCATCGCTAATAAGAATGTTGAGGTAAAACAGCTGAAGCTATTGCTTCGATGAGCGTCCTGTGATTTTTATATATATAACAATTTCTTAGACTTTTACTTAAAATGATTTGATTTATTCAATAATATTCACTTAATTCTAATAATAAAATAAATAAAATTTTTCATTTAAATACCATCCAACAAACCATATGTTTATAAGTACCTACATAATTATGTATTCAGAATATTTCTATTAATATTATTTGAAAAATATTGTTCTGCTTGATTTATTGTACAAAAACATTTCAATCTAATTTGTTGTCATTATTTTAATTTGTATTTAGTCATCACTAAATGAGAATTTTTTTTTAATTCAATTGACTATATATATCCGCTAAATACACAATTAACGTACAGTTTTTTATGTTTTGTAATTTTCAGTTTAATTTGTAATCAAATAACAAAACAACGACCACAACAGCAATAAACAAATTTAGTTATATCAAAACCCAGAAATATTTTAAAAAATACAAAAAAACAATATTAAAAATGATTCGAACGCCTGCATTAAATATTATTGTTGGAGTAAGCGCCTTTAGCTTAGCTGGGATTATTATGTATATATGGTATAAAAATAGAGATGACGAAGAAGATGAATTAGATTCTCCAAATGATATTAAAAACGATAAAAAAATAAAAAATGGAACAAATCAAAAAGATATTACAATTAAAATGGTTATACCAAATGATAAAGTTCCAATTATTGTTGGACGTGGTGGAGCAAATCTAAAAAGTATTGAAAGTAAAGCGACAGTAATAATAACATTTAAAGATAAAGATGATCATAATCAATTTTGCGAGATACGAGGTACAACGGATGCTGTTAATTTAGCAAAAGAGTTACTTTCAAAAGAAATGAATCGATCGTTAAATGTCAAAGAGGAAATTTTTGTACCGCAAAGTGCATGTGGAAAAATAATTGGTAAAACTATTTATTAATCAATATAATTATTCATTATTGAGATATTATACATTATTTAATTAAAATTTTTAACATTTTCTTTGTTGTAGGTCGTTGTGGAGAATCGTTACAGGAAATATGTCGTAAATCATTAGCAAAAGTATCTGTTGATTCAGGTGATAGAGCTGGTGAAAATTCGACTCGAAAAATTGTTATAACAGGTAATCGAGGTCAAGTTGATGTTGCAAAGAAATTGATTGAAGAGAAAGTCAAAGAAGATGAAGAATATCGTAAAAACATAGAGGAAACTGAATTAAAACGTGAACCTCGACGCAGTCCTACACAAAGTGTTTCAAGTTTGCATTCATCAATGACTTCGTTAGCATCAACATCACATTTACCATCAAAAGAAAAATTAAGTTTAAGTGAATCGGACAAGCCGTTTGAAGTTTTTGTTTCAGCTATTGCTTCACCAGCTAAATTTTGGTTACAATTAATTGGTCCACAAACAAAAAAATTAGATCAATTAGTTGAAGATATGACAGAATATTATAATAATGAAGAAAATCAAGAAGTTCATAAAATTGCTGATCCATATTTGGGACAAATTGTTGCTGCGTTATTTAAATATGATGGTAAATGGTATGTAAACAGATTAAATTGTATTAAATGAAATATTTAAATTATTAATTTTTTTAATACTAAAAAATGTTTTGAAAAAAGGTATCGTGCTGAAATTGTTGGAATTTTACCAAATGAATATAATCCTCGGGATGTTGTTCTTGATTTATATTTTGTTGATTATGGAGACAGTGAATATGTTCAACCCCACGAAGTATTTGAATTACGAACAGATTTTTTAACATTAAGGTTATACTCAAACTAATATTTTAAACAATATACATAAATTATATTTATATTTCAGATTTCAAGCTATTGAATGTTTTTTGGCAAATACTAAACCAGTTGGTTCATTAGATGTTGATATATGGGATCCAACATCAATTGCTAAATTTGAAGAATTAACTCATGGTAATTTGTTATTGAATATTTCTGCTAAATTTTTGTGAAAATCTCGTTTAATTAAAGTTGCGAGTTGGAGAAAACTTAAATCAAGAATTGTTACATATAAGGACCGACCTCGAGGTGGAAATCATATAAGGAGGGAGGGTTCACCAGTTCCTGGTGTGGAGCTTTTTGATAATATTGAAGGTAATATTGATTTTTAAATGACTCAAAAGTATATATGCACATATATATATATATATATATATATATATACATAAATAACATGTTTCATTTTAGGAACCGAAATAAATATTGCTCATATGTTAATAACGCATGGTTTTGCGATGCCAGATTATCCAGAAACACAAGCAAATTATATACAAACCAATCAAATAGAAGAAACATCATCAGAGCACAACACGTCACATTCTTCAAATAATGAACCTGTACCTCCGCCACCCCCACCAAGAACATATTCTCAGCACATTGGAAATAGTAATGTTAAATCACCAATAATGTTTAACGGCACATCAAAAAATAATGGACATTCAATACTTAATAATACTAAAATAGAATCAGAAAACTTTTTAAAAACAGAGCAGTTAAATGGCAAGCCATTACAGCATGGCTTTAATAACACGTTGACAAAGGCAAATCATACATTAAGTTAAAAAAGCAAACACAAATAAAAACCTAACAAATTTATACATATTTTTTGAACCAGGAGTTTTTCTTCTTTGGTACATATGAATATTTGTGTCCATTCTTATTTTATAATATATTTAGTCATAGTTCCTTGAATTTTTATATAGAAATTATTATTCAAAAAGGTTAGCTCAGATTTGAGATATATAGAAGATTTAAGATTTTTTTTAAGATTTTTAAATTGAACATGTTTTTGATAAAATAAGCTTTATTGGAAAAACTTGATTAGAAAAAAAAAATGAGAATAGTTATTATTTTATATAACAGGTCTTTAGATCTTGAAATGCTAGATAAGGGGCATATAAATGGAAAATTTTATTCATTTTTTTATTAAATTAATTTTCTAAAGGAACCATTAAATGCATGAGCTGTGGAAGTTCTACACATAGAATAATATATAAGAGAAAAAAGAGTAGGCGAACAAAATCCTTGTATCTAAGACATTCATTTCAGTTCTTTACAAATTTAACTAAATAATATAACACATAGAAACATCGAATTATTCAATTTAAAAAAAAAAGTTAAAAGGACGATTATCCTAGCTTATGTTGGGAAACAGATAGTAAATAAAATAATTAGTGCGAAATTTAGTTGACTGATACCAATCTATTTAATGAAAAAATTTTATTCCGTTTAAATTTTACAGTCTTTAAAGATAGATTTAATAGCCTAAACACGACAATACAATAAATTACTTTAAATCTGTTTAGCGAAAGCAAAACTGTGCGGCTCACCAATTGTGCGGCAACAATTGTTTTAAAATTGCAACAATTGTTTTAAAATTGCAAAACAATTGTTTTAAAAAATTTGTGTGATATTGTGCATTCAGCTGTCGTTTATTAATTATTTAAGTAATTGATAAATAATTTCTCGAAGAAAAAAATGGTTGTGAAAAGCTGCTTTTAGAAAATAATTTGAGCTCACCAATTTGGTTGAAAATTAAAGATAAATTAATATAAAAAAGTTATACGTTAAACGTGCTTACTATATTTGTTATTGAAAAATCATTGTGGTTAAATACTATTGAATTTTCATTTTTATAGTTAGACAGGGTTTGAACAATTTTGTACATGAGTGGTTTTTATTTTTCCGTAAAACGAAATTCACAAATGTTTAAACTTTCACCAAATTTTAATTAAATCAAATACAATCCATGATACAATTCTGATAGTGTAAACCCTGACTAACATACAAAATTCTCAGACATTAATTAAATTTTTAAAAAATTTCAGAAATTTAAGAATTAATTTTTTATTACTAAAAAGAAATTGTTTTCTTTAAGAATAGGTTAACCGATGTTTTTAATTACTTTTATAAATAAAGGTATTGTTTGAACTAAATTTATCCTAGAGGTGTTATAAAATATTTAGTTTCAATATGTACTACAAATGGCAATTACGGAAATAGTGAAAAGGCTTTGTATGAATTCATATTTCTATAATCTTAGTTTTAAATAATTCTTAAAAATAACAATTAAGCAAAAATTTTTTATGTAATTTTAAAAACGAGAAAATTGTGTCTTAATATTGAGATATTAATATTGTTCTAAAAATACTTTATGAAAATAACTTGTCGATATAAGTATATCTGTCCCACTTTTACAAAAACTTTTGTGTAAATAAATTACATATACATATATTTTGAATTAGATCAAAAACATTTTCTGTAATTTTTAAACTAAGTAAACGAAAAAATTTAATTTCAGAAAGTACAATATTTAGTTATTAAGTCTAATATAAACATAAGAACTCAAAACAAATTTTAACAAGTCAATATATTTTTAAAACAGAACTAAATGATTATTGAATAAACGATGATTCTAATAAAGAACCATCCTTAGTAAATTTAAGTAAAAGTATACGTCTATTATATCAAAATAATTACACTCCAGAATATAATAAAAAGCAAAAAAAATCAACTATCATTGCGAATTTTTTAAAAACTTACGTCACAAAACTTTTAAAAATCATGTTACAATTTCAAAATCACAAACTATTTTCATAGCTTTAAAAATAGTAAAGAAAAATGTATGTATTTAAATTAAGAAATAATGCAAAATACTAAATGTAGAACATTTTCCTTGTTAATTAAAGTTTTGAACACGAAAATAAATAGATAAATTTAAATATTTAAAATATTTAAATTTATATTTTTTTAAACTTAATCTTATTTTTCCTAGATCTTCTAACTTATTTTTCATATAAAAAAAACTAAAAGTTTACGAAGTGTACTAGAGCTACGAATATCTGCAAATTTGTTCTATGTTTTCGATATTTCACCGATGTTTTGAAAACACTACTAAAAAGTCACTATTGCAAGCCATATTTTCAGAGTACTTTTTAAAAGCACATATTTAATTTATACCAAAATTAAAAATTATCTATGTATATATGTATGTCTTGATTTTACATCTAGACGATTTACATACATATATTATATGTACAAATATATAATTGAATATATAATATATGTAATATATATACATCGATCCACAAGAAATGTAATCTGTCTATTTATTTAACAATTTATTGTGCCAGAGTTTATTAAGCGTTGATGACATCTATTACTTTTTAGAAATTCTTTCAAAAAACTGAAAGATAAAGTCATATATATAAATTAATATACCAGAAGTATGTATATAAATTCTTATATTCAGATCATTCAGATTGTGAATACGCATAATACGCAAAAATCAATTACGTATATATATGCAAAATAATATAAACGATATCAAACAACTAACGTAATTATTGGACATCGTAACATAATTTTGAAAGCGTTGCATTGCAGTTTGAAAGGACAACAAAACGAAAATGAAAAAACAAAAATTATATAAAACGTTTAACTTAAACAACTAGCACTCACATTGATTTTCAAGCACACGCAGAAAAAATGAAATTATCTACACATATTCTATAAAATATCAAAATTTACTTTTAATAAATTCGATATTTTATATAACTTTAATATTAAATTAATAATAGATAAATTATTAACACAAAAAAAAACAAAGATATTACGTTAAACAATGTTATTTTTAGTTTCACATTAAGAAACTAAAAATATTGTCCATAAAAAAATATCATGCAAAATGTAATATGGCATATTATGTATGTATGTATGTACTTGAAAATTGTTAAATATTGTAACAAATTAAAGATCAATCAATAACCATTAATTAGCATTTTTAAATATTTTAATAAAATAAGTAGCTACATATGTCACAAAAAGCAAAAAAATAAACATAGATTGTACGATAAGAACATTTTAAACTTAATTTTAAAAGAAACATTTGCCTTTCATAAAGCTAGCTAGCTGTTTAGTAAAAAATAAAAATTTATAAGACTATTTATTTTGTAAGAAATTTAAATATTAAAATTCTTTACGTTTAATTATATTGGCTAAAATATTAAATGTAAAATTTATTTAAATAAACCATATCAGTGGAAGAACCTATTTGATCAAAAAAAAAAATATAAAAAATGAAGTCACAAACAATTTAATATTATTAAAATTATATTTTTTATTATTACAAGTACATACGGTCGAAAATTTTTTAATGAAATAGGTAATGAAACACGTATTTATATACATATACATATTATGTGAACAATTCTCCTAACGAAGTAAAACATAACAATTAAAATGTTACAAAAATTTGTTTGAACGCTTGAATACAAGTTTGACCAAAATTAAAGTATGCATCTAGCTTAAAACCGGATGAATTCAATAGCACGTATAAATTATAAGAATTATAAAAACATACTAAAAGTTTATGATAAAATTTAAATATATATTTATTTTGGTTGGAAACTTGTACCTTTAAAATTAAATTTATTTTTTTAAAATATTTATTCAAATAAATAATTTCAATATTTTTTGATAAATTTATATAGTAAACATTAAAAAAAATAAGAAATTGGAAATTAAAGTGAGATGTGCCATTGTATTATAAGAAATTTTATAAATTTTACTACAAAATAATTTATAGAACGTGTTCCATTATTATTTAAAAAGAAAAATAAAACAAAACAAAAAATTCTATGTTTCAAAAATATTAATTTTATCTATTATATTGAGTTTAAATATAATTATGTACTTACAGAGTTCATCTTATTTAATTAAATTCTTGTTTGATTTTTGTAAATAAAATTATGTTGTACGATAATTTAGTAGAAATCAAAAGAAATAAGAATAAATAAATAAAATATCTTTTTAATTGTATCAGTTTTTTAATCTTTTATTTTCAAAATTTTGCAACTACAAAGTAGGTAGTACATGTAAAGTGCAAGTAAGTTTGAACTTTCATAAACCTTTTGGGACAATAGGAGCAATCAAAAATTAAATGTTTAAAATATAACATCCAATTATAGAAAAAAGTCAAGATTTAACGGCAAGATACTACTGATATTTGAAACAACTAATATATAAATAAAAATTAACTGAGTTTGAAAATTGTGGGTGTAATATGATACATCTACAGATCGCAATTTTAGGGATTTTCAATAATTCTTTTCTAATTTAGGTATAACTTAATATAAAACACATTCGATAAATCCAAGCTACAAAATCTGCAAAAATAACACGTTCACAAATGATAGTTGTTCTTAAAGTCTTAAAGGAATTTTTAAGTTTTTTTTATTGCTACTACAAAAATATTCTTAATTAGAGGAGGAGCATAATATAAAAACGTTGGATATTGAAGAGTTATTCGTGTATGTTAAAAAACTGCAAAATTAAATATTCTTGTAGATTTTTAAGTACATATGTGTAAAAAGATTTTTAAGTTTTTATTTAAAAACTTCTGAATTATTGAAAATCCCCCATTTTATTTTTGTGTTGTTTTACTTTTCCAAATTTAATTTATGTTCTTAACAAAATAAACATTCATAGCAAATTAATAAACTACAATACTTATCACAATCAGTTAACCGTTACGAAGTTTATGAATGCAAAAGTAGCATACTAGAAATTATAAATATTAATAGAAATGATCAGGCATATTTTAATGTACACATACTTCATTAAACTGAAAACAACTCGTAATACGTACTTATATCGGTCGCTAGTTGAAACTAGAATCACTTGAAGAAATGTTGAATAAAAATTCTTATTTTCCCAATTACATTTGTTGTTTCTATTAAATTTTTCAAATTTTCAATCAGATTTCGTATTTATCTTAACATATCATACAAAAAATTTAAAATGTCAGCTAAATTTTGTCAGCGGGACAGAGTCTGAAGAATATTCTCATTAAAAATTGTATAATATGAAAAAGTGTTACTCATTAATGTTTTGTCACACTGTGTGTAAATTAACACGCTGTGTATGTTAACATAAAGAAGAATTTAAATAATTTATTTAATTACCTCACTAATTTAGCTTTAAACCGTCCCAAAAATTTAAACATTATCGAAAACTTTATTATTTACAGCTACTTGTGCAACAAATTTCGTCAAAATGCTCGTCATTTTTTATAAATGGTAAATTTTTTTTTCTTTATAAACTAACAATATATTTATAAATTTATAATGCAAGAAATACACTGATTAATTACACTATTCAATAGGAACTTTTTTAATCATAACAGAAGTATAAAATAAAAGAATAAAAAATATTTCTATAAAATAGTTCAGATTTTTTCATTTTACAATGAAAGTTTTCAACTTATAAAAAACGGTATGTAACGTACTGTAAATGTGCTTAATACTTTAAAAATGCTTATTTAATGCAAATTATCTACTATTACTCAATTAAGGAAAGTTTTAAATGACGTAACAACTTCATTTTTTAATAAACAATTCATAGTTTTTACAAACGCATATAATTACAATTACAATAATTCTTAAAAGAGTGGAAAAGTCATTTTTTGTTATTGGATTTTAAAAAAGTTAGTGAAAAGATCAATTGTGGAAAAGTTGCTTTTTTTTTGTATTAATTCATATTGTTGCATAGTATAGTACTTACCATTTCCTTTAAAACTTTCACTCGCCTTATAAATTAATGGTAATGTCATGGTCACTAATAATACATATATATAAAAAAAAACAAGTGGAATAGGGTCTTTTCTATTTAAATACTACTATCTATTTAGGAAAGGAAAGGTATAAAAGTCTCAATCACAACTATTTTATTTGAAAGTCACTTAAGTGCAGGCAAAATATGTACAATATATCGGCATAAAATACAAAAGTTTTTCATCTAAGAAAATATAAAATTGTTTTGGATTTATTCATCTCCTGTGATAATGAAGTTTCGAACATTATTCAAGGTATTTTGATAAAATGTTTTATAATACTATTTAATTATTATATTTACATAATATATTAATAATTTTCATTGTGTTTAAACAACTTTTCACATTTCATTAGTGGTTTATTCCTTGCAAAGTTCTTCTTGGGGTATTCGCTTTTATCCTACCAAAATGTAAGATTATTTAAATGATTATGATGTTTGCATATATGAATATTAGAAAATTAATTTTTTGAACTTTTAGTCATAGAAGATACAATTGATCAATTTTATGATGAAGTTGTTTCCGGACAAATGGATTCCGTTGATTATGGATCATATAGTGGACGAAATGGTGAATTTTCATGGCACGTAAATCAACCATTGTACCAACCTTCATATAATCCAATGCGAATATATTACAGAGGCTAGTTATTGTTATTTTATGTTAAAACAGTTCAAAATATTTATAACTCTTGAATTTTATTTAATTACAACTAATTTATGTTTAATATTTAATGTAAATCATTTATTTATAATTACTTAATATATTTTAAAATTTAATACAATCTATAGCGTCTTGTACAAAATACATTTATGCGTTTGTGTATGATAATCATTGAAAACATTTTAATATTGAATCTGATAAAATCTATTGAATTATTGAACTTATTATGTTATAAAATTCATTCACTAGCGTTTGACTTCATCGAGCATTGAATTCATAAAAAAAAGGGATTTGTGGATGCTTATTGCGCTGCACTAGAAGACCTATCACTCCTATCTTGATTTAACACTCCTATCAATTTATAAAATATTTTCTTGTTCGGAAGTTCATCTTGGGCTTACATGCATATATGTAAGTACAAAGGGTCTGTACAATCTTACGTTTTGAGTATTTTTCTTAAGCATTTTGTTGGTTTGCAGAAAACGTAAATTGTTTGAAAACCCTTGATTCACAAATATGTGGAAAATATCTACTTGCATGTCACAAACCTTCTATAATTTAAAATTATTTTATACTTACTAATTGTAGAATGATTTGCTAAACATAAAACACTACTTTTTTCAACTTCTCCCTCTCAATATTTGTGTTAAACTCATTAGGTATTTTCTATCTTTCATATAATTGCCAAATCAACGGGGAAAGTTCAAATCAAATATTAAAATTTATAATTTAAAAAGTACAACGAGTTTTGGATTGTTTTTTCCAAAGATAGTTTTTTTTTTATTTTTTAATCTGTTTTTCTTTCATCAATAAAATACAAATAAAAGAAACATTTTTTTCTGTTTATGAAAAAAAAATTAAAACAATAAAAAATATTTTATAGGTATGTAAAAAAAAAAACTGTTTTTTCATATCTAAGTGTTTTTTTTTTTCTTCTTTTTTAACTCTTATCTTATGAAAATTAATTTAAAAAAAAAGCGATAACTAAAGAGAAATTTAAATAAGAATGAATTTAGAAAAAAAATATGTAAGAGTAATTATTTAAAAAGTGATGACAGAAAACCCGCTGCACATTTGATCTAAGCTTGTATAAAATATTTATCAGTTGTATTTTTCTATTTTTTCTTTTCGAATTACAAATCACTAAAATCTAAAACTTTAGCCAAAAGTTACTGAAAGTCTTTGTTACGCACATATATATTTATATATATATACGTATAATTATATAATAGTTATGAACTCTTACACAAAATTTAAAAACAAACAAAAAAATTACTTATTGTAATTAATTATTATAATGTAATAATTAAATTACTTATTATAATAAATATTTTATATAAGTATGGTAAATATTTATGTATTCATGTATACAAATGTATGTATTTATATGCACAAAATTCTGTTTTTTTTTCGCGGTTTTTCCTATAAAAAAAAATTGATATTTTTTATAACTTCAACTTTGTAGGAAAGGTAAAAGCTTTAAAAGTTTTATATATACAAATTAAATGCACTCTGTAAAGAATGCAACTTGTTAAACAATTAAACTTGACATACAATTAAACTTGTATTTCTTTTTTTATGTACTAAATTTATAGAAAACACATAATTTTACTTTTTTATTTAAAAAAAACATTATTTTTGTAATTTTCGACTAAATTCATTTGCATCAATATTTTATCGATCTAAGCTAGAAACTAAAATATGCTAATAATATTTTCTCAATTTTTTTTTTTTTACTAGAATTTTTCAAATTATTTCTTGGAAATATTGGAAAAACATTTCATAAAAACAGGCACATTGTTCTGAAATTATATTAGAGTATTAAAAAAGAAAATATAACGTAATTAATAATGAAATTTGAATAGCCTTAAGTTCTCAATAAAGTCCTTTAAATCAATTATCGAAATTAAATTTAATTTAAAAACAGAATTTATATGTATATATATATATATATGAACTTAAGGGTATGGAAATATGTTTGTTCGAAAAATTTAATACGATCTACAGATACTGAACTGATTAAAAATTAAAATAAAATTAATAATTAAAAACCTTTCTGAAAGTAAAATATTATTATTTTTCAATGTTGTATTTAGCTTTTTGTTTTCCCTAATTGAATTTACAAATAAATTAATATAAGAAAATCGCGTGTTTAATGTGATATAAAAGAGCCCTAAGCTTGTTTTTTTTTCTTCCTTATTACTCCTTTTTCAAATTTTGTTTTGTGTACATTTATCATTTTTCTTTTTCATATAATTTTAATACACAATGAATATAAAAAATAAATAATTTCATTTTTTAAATTGCTAAGGTTCAGTCAAATTAAGCTCAATTTTAAATATGCAACGGGTAATTGTCTATTAATTTTTCAAATGTATATATATAATAGAAAATTTTCAAATATTTGACGGGAAGAAAGAAATAATTTTAGTGATAGAAATAACAAAAAAAAAAATTGTTTTTTAAAGTTTTTGAAAATTGTTTTTTTCTTTTCTTCTCTTTTATTATTATTTTCTTTCTTTACTGAATATTATCATAATTTATCAGTTCTTTAAAAAATAAAATACAGAATTTGAGTTAATTTTCTACTATTACATTTATATATATATAATATGTAAATCTATTTTTTTCATGCGGTTGCTGTTCTTATTTTATTTTCCCAGGTTTTTTCTAACTTTTTTTTTAATTTTCTCACCTTTTAATGTTTGATTATGTGTAAAATAGACTTCTGTAGAATTTTTCACTTATTTTAACTTTATTTACTCTTACTTCTGTTTTCTTTCCAAATATTTTATATGTTTTGTTTTTATTTATTTTTTTTTATTATTTTTCTTGTATATTTAATAAATTTTCCTTTTTTTTTAATTTTTTGTTTTTATAGATTTCTTACCTTTTAAATTTTTGTTTTGTTTTTTCTTTTCTTTTATTCAATAGCAATATAATTATTATTAATTAATTAATATAATAAATTTTTTTTTATTTTTTTTGCATTTTTTTTTTCATTTATTTTTTAAAGTTTTTTTTTGCATATGTATTTTTTTTTTAATTTTTATTAATTTTATTATTTTTTATTTTTTTTTTAATTGTTACATAATTACTATTATTAGTTTTTTTATGTTTTTTTTTTTATTTTATTAATTTAAATTTAATTCCCTTAAAAAGGTAATTTTTTTTATTTTTATATTTTATTTGATAGTTTCTACTTAAATTTTTAAATTTATATGGGTTGTGGTTGGATGCTGTTCTTGTTTTTTTGTTGTATTTTGTTGTTATTCTATATTGATGCATATATGTATATTATATTTGTAATTTATTTCTATGCCAATGGTGAAAATATATATATATATGTATATATAGATATATATTAATATAAGTATATTGGATTGCAAACATACACAAAAAAACACACCGTTTTTCTCTTAAAGGAAATAATCTGGTGTTCTTCGTGTTACATGTGGTTCTCCACGTCTTGGTGCGGGATCAAATTGAAGGCTAAAAAAAATTTTAAAGAAAAATTAAAAATTATTATGAAGAAATATGAATAACACAATATTATAATTATTTATTATATTTAAAAATTAATCAATTTTTTTGATTTGAAAATGCTGTTTATGTATACATATATGTATGAATTAGAATAGGATAATTTTCAATTATATCATAGATGATTCTAATTCTTTGGTAAACGCTAACAAAATTAAATAAATAAGTAATTTTTAAACAGAATTATTCTCAGTTGAAATGTACACAAATAATTTTTTTACTAGTTTTTTACTAGTTTAGATTTCATATTTTGAAATTAAATTATTTCATTTACATCCCGTTTAAGTTCTTTTCTGGGTATTTTCATAATTTTAGCATTCATATGAATTCAAGTATTCACTCTGATAGAGAAAAATGTATACATTACAGATAGTTCTACTCGTTTAGTATAAAATTATACATAAAAAATAATATACATAAAATAAAATTACTACAGAAATATTTCAATACTATAAACGATAAAATTTGATATTGTACACGATTTTTTTTTTAATATTATATAACATTCGCCCACATTGTATTTTCAACTGTTCGTAAAAATGACAAACATTTCAAATTTGAATATTCTTGAATTTAATTAGTACCTTAAAATTTTTTAACAATAAATTTTTTCTGTTTTAAAATTCACAAAAAAAAATATATACTTTATCTATTCAGTTTAATCAACCTGGAAATAAAATTATAATTGATAATATGCCAAATTATAAACATAAAAAAAAATAATTATTATTTTAGTCAAATAACACGTGTATTAAAAATTTTCTAGACTTATTTGTAACCCTTGAACTACACCGTTTTATTTTCCTATCCTCAGTTTATTATTAGAATGAAAAAAATTGTAAATGTAACATTTAATTATTAATATTGAAATACATTTGATCTTGAAAGTTTTATTTCGAAATTTATATAATTTTGTTTGTAGAAATTAATATTTTTCGTATTTATATAGCTTATGCATATATAATATATTGCATATATAATTTATTATATATGCATTTAAAAATACAAACCTTTATAGCTTAAAAAAAAAAATAAGAACAAAATTCACAAAAAGCAAATCTAGAAAAAACAGCAAAATCATAAAGCTGCAAAAAAGCTTATTGAAAAAAATGATACAATCCAAGAGAAACGATGTTTAAAAATAAAATATTTTAAATGTTCGAAATTCAATATTTTTAAAATGTTTAGAAAACAAAATTTTTTAAATATATGGCGTGCACCCTGATGTAAGCAATGTTATTTTTATTCTTAATAATAATATATTTTTTCATTTAACAAAAATATATTTTTTCACTGAAACATTCTATCATATGACTTTTTGTTATAAAAGTAACTAGTTTGTTTAATTGGTTTTGAAAAATTTTGAAAAATAGTTATACAACCTTTATAATATCTAATTTATATTATAATAAGGGATTTTATAATGCAATAACAATATATTAGCATTAAATTCATTTGGAAATTTTTAACATTAAAATCATTTGGAGATAAATTAAATGAAGATTTTATTTCTTATGCCTATACTCGTATTATTTTCTTTTATTTACGCAATAGAAAATCGGTCACTTCCGCATTTTATTAAATTAAATAAAAAAATCTGAACTAAAAAAAAGAACAAATATTTTTTTCTTTTCTGTTTCATGTTTCAGGGAATTTTGTGGCGTCTTTTTGAAAAATTTTAATTTATTTCAATAGGGAAAACATATTATTCTAAAAACATACATAATTTGTTTTCCTAAAAAGAAAATGGCATTTTTTCTAAGTCTTACAACAATTTGTTCAATTTACAACAATTTTTTTTGAAGCAATAAAGCAGTAAAAAGAATATAAATTTTAAAGTTTCGAAATTTCAAAATGTATCTACCAATCTGAGAATTGACTATAAATTATAATTTTTAATACATATTTATACTGTTCAAAAATCAAATTTTTAATTCGCTGTTATGTATATGTACTTTAATATTACAATAAAATTCAAGTATCATGACACTAAAACATTTAAACTTCTCAAAAAGTTAAATTTAAGAAGTATAAATTTTTTGCGAAAATCTTAAGTCCTTATTTTGTACCAATATAAAATATATATATATATATATATACATATTATATTATATTGCAATTTAGAATTTACTTACAATGAAAATTTAAGTGAATCATCTAATTCCATTAAAGCAGCTTGATTACCACAACGATAACAATAATTTGGCGCTGAAAAAATTGTGACAACATTACGATCGTGACACCAATTATAACCTTCCATAACAAGTTGATGAGCTCGTGATACCAATGTTAAACCATTTGTGTGATTAAATGTTTCAGATATATCCTAAAATTAACGCAAAATTAAATAAAATTTTTTAATAGTTTAAATACAGAAATAAACACATATACACAATAATTATTATATTATATTGTATATAAATTAAAATGACATACCTGTCCAAATGTATAACCTGCTCCACGTGGTGAAATACCCCAGCCACCTCTATCATCTGGGTCAGACCATAATAAGTCACACATTGGTCCCTCATGTGGTACTTCTTGTAATCGATCTAATGCACGTATATGATCCAAACTATCAATTGATGGTGATAAACCACCATGTAAACAAAATATTTGATTATCTACTAATGCTGTTAAAGGTAAATAATCAAATAAATCAGTAAAATATTTCCATACACTTGCATTGCCATATTTTCTGAGACATTCATCATAAAAACCATATACTTGAGTAATTTGACGTGATTCATGGTTACCACGTAATATTGTTATTCTTTCACGATATCTAACTTTAAGGGCAACCAATAAAGTTACTGTTTCAACTGAATAATATCCACGATCTACATAATCGCCCATAAATAAATAATTTGTATCTGGTGATTTACCACCTATCCGAAATAATTCCATTAAATCATGAAATTGGCCATGAACATCGCCACATACTGTAACTGGACATTTTACTTCTTGAACATTTGATTCTTTCGATAAGATTTCTTTAGCCTGTAACGAAAAAATAAATAATATAATAGATATGATTTTTCATAACGTCAAGTTAAAATTTCAAAATTAAGTAAACGCATATGGTCATTTTCAGGGAAAGAATTTTTTTACCTTAGGAAATGAAATTCAATGAAAATTCGTTTTTTTTTTAATGAGAAATTTCATTAATATTTGTTCATTTCACAGCAATCTCGTACAATTTTGTTGCCAAATTTTAAATAAAAGCAATGAACCTTATTTAAGTTTTATTTATTCAAACATTGTTTTAAATATTCATATCAAAAATCTCATTCATTTTATTATTCCTATTAATTAAAAATACATTTTATCAAAAATTTTCTAATCAACACACATTATGTTCATTTTTACTTGCTCGATAGTACAAAATAATGTGTAATATTTGTATGAAAAATTGAGCGAAGGGAAAACAGTGAAAAAATAATATGAGCAGCTTAGCTTTTAATTGTATTTAGTCAATATGTATGTATTTTGTATTTAAACTTAATTTCCAAAGAAAAACAAAAATATCATGAAACACATTTGTAATTATTGTATTTTTTTCTGTTTTTTTTTTTCATTTTTTTATACGTAATTTCTAATCGAAGCGCCACACAAAAAAATATTGGTTTCAAAATGATTCATTCAAACATTTTAAAGAAAAGCAGGTAACAACAATTAGAAAAAATAGATTTTTTTTTTAAATATACCAAGTTCATGAAATTCATACAAAAATAAAATTCAATGGTTTTGGCTTTTTGAATCGATAATAAAGTTAAAAAAGAATTTGCATATAATGTGCTTCATACTTGAGTACATACTTACTTATTTATATAAATTATTCATGTGGCTTTTTACGAGAATATTCTGAAAACTATTGCTAATATTACCAAATTGCATAACATGTAAAAAGTATATCGCTAAATTTTCAAAAAAAAATTAATAGAGAAAATTCTTATAAAATAGGATATTTCGTAAACAATTTGGCCTAAGCTCTTTAATTTTAGAATTTAGCTAATTTCATTATAGCTTTAAAAAAATGGTTACAAATAATAATTATAATTTCCCAAATTGAATTTGGTCTAAGAAACGTTTTCAAAATAACTTTTGTAAAAATAATACTAAAATAAAATCATTGCATAATAACAATTTTACTATTTCTCTTAATGTTAAAAAATATAATCAACCAATGTTAAAGCAAATAAATTAAGAATTAATTGCACGATTAATTGTAATTACCGTGTGCGCTTAATTTCTCACGTCACTTAAATAAATTAGAAGGAATATTGAAAATCAATAATTTTGATTAAAAATATTAATAAATTTCAGATTTTACAACTTGTTAAATGTATAAAAATAAAAGAAATTTAAGAATTAGTTGCATAACAATTGTTATTACATTAATGTAAATAATATTTCTTCAATAATTATCAAGTAGGTATAGTTTCAAATTAGTTTAATACATTCAAAAATTTAATTAGCCAAATAGTGAAATAACTAGTAAAAATTGTTCGCCCCTACATAAGTAAATAGCTGATCAAATTAAATCAGTTTGGAATTGACTGAGTCATCTGAATAGAATCGTGCATGAAATTGAAAAAAAACTGAAATTGAAACAATAAACAAATACATAGATGGAAATTATATGATAGTATTGCTTGTTAATAAAAAAAAAAACAAACACAACTTATGTAACACGGTTTTTGCAGATTTTTAGCTATCTATAGTAATATTAAATGCGTTTCTCAATTTAAAGTCAATTGTTATACATTAGAGTATCTTAATTGTCATAAACCGTTTCTGTATCTAGAGCATCAGATTACGAAAAATTACACTTTTATACATATATACTTTTTCCGAAATTACTGAAACTAATACTGGTGTTATGTGGCATTTAAATAAATATTTTTCAATTTTTATATAAATAAATTTTAAAAATAAATGTTACTTTTTGCTTTATACAAATACTTATATATACATATAAATATATAAATAATACAAAAAAATAGATTGATTAAATTGAAATTGATTTTAATTAATAAACTTTCTCTAAACTACGCAAGCCATTTAGAAAAATCCAGAAATAAAAATAAAACAAATAGATTTCTATTTAAAAAAATATAACTACGATATAAAATTCTAAACGTAGATATTAAAAAATTGTTTACAAACACAAATGCAATTCTTTTATTAATTATTTAATTGTATTACGAAATAATAATTCTTTACTTTATTACAAACAATTTAAACTTTTAGAATTTTCACAGAATACTTGAATTACTAGTTTACATCACTCTTTAAATTATCGTATAAGCCTTACGTAAATTAAATATAATTGCCCCGTAACTGTAAGATAAACTTATCGTAAAGATATTTTTTTTCGCATTATGACGAAAATGTACAATTTTCTATTTGTCAATCTAAATCGAAATAATATTAAAAGCATAACCTTTGTCGTGTTATTATCTTGTTTATTACGCGATCCCTTCCGTGAGTCAATTATATTGAATATGTTGATTTAAAACTTGAAAACGTTTCTATTTCAATTCAATTATTAAAAATAATAATGGAATTTTCAAAATATTTTTAAAGCTGTTAATTAATTTATAATGTTGGTATATATGGTACCAACATAAAAAATATTTATTAAACTCAAAAAACTTAATTAATGACTTAAAAACTATTTAATAAACATACAATTCTTATTTAAAAAAAAAGACCAACTTAATAGTCTAGTCAGTTCCTCACATAATGCAAAAAAAAATTTACAAAATTTATTTAAGATCATAAGAGCATTTAATGTAAAAGTTGGATGATTTTAAATTCCAACCGAATTTTTTTTTTATCTTATTTAAATGTACTAGATTTCGCCAGAGTAGTAATCTTAAACTCGAATAAGGTTTAATATAGGAATAATATAATAATTGTATAATAAAATAATAAATCGTATATCCTATTAAAAATAAGGCTTACTATTGGAGGAATTCTCGTAACATTGAACCGCGTCATAATACCTCCGTGTATCAAGATATGGCTCACTTGGTATTTTAATAAGTTCGCACAAAGAATTTTCGAGCAACAAACTAAAATTATTTTCACTGGTAAAACATAAATTTGATAATAATAAATTTTTTGGACATATTACATGCTTATAATGTAAAATTCATTGAAGTCAAGCAATTGTTTTTTCTTTACACTTACTGTATACAGGATGTTCTGCATAAGGTGGCAAGTAATTTCAGTGAAAATCCTTGATCAATTTCCACCAAAAAGCTGTGTGGGTGGGTACTGCATATAAACTCGTTTTTGAGCTACAGCTTGTTGACAAAAAAGTACCAGATTTTTCTGTACATGATTTCGGAACCATGCGAAATCGAACAATTGTCGGGTGCTTGTTTTACAGGCGATTTATTTCTTATTTTCAATCTTACAATCAATTTAATTTGATCCATAGTTCTCGAGATAAATCTCGTCAAAATCAGAATTTATGTTTTTTAATTTTTGTTAAAAAAATTCAAAATTTCTCTACTATTACTGGCAATACTATGATTAAATTACTGGCAACACTATGAGAGATAGATTAAAATGTTAAATGGATTAACTTTGAGCTCTCATTGTAACGTTTCAAAAAAAATTGAAAAAACAATAACAATACAAATTTTGAAGAAAATTCGAATTTGAAAAAAAAAATCAAAAATTCAGAAGAAATATTCAAATTATAAAGAGTAAAAATGAAATAAATTGAAACACTTTTAAATAAAATATTTTTAATTTAATTACCCAATATTTGTTTACATTTATTTTTGAAAACGAAAAAGAATTGTTACCCAGCTAATTTAATATATTTAATTTAATTTAAGAATATTTTAATTATTTTTTCTTTTTAATTTTTCCTGTTCATTTTGTGGACTATCATGCCAAAATTAGAATCAAAAATAGAAATTTTTGTATACCAAAATTATCAAAAGTAATTAAATGGATTTGTACATTGCCTCTATCGAAACTAATACTTGAAAGAAAGAATAAAAGATGAATAAAGAAAAACAAAAAAAAAACAAGAAGAATTTGAAATGTAAAAATTAATATAACAAATAAATAAATAAGCACAAACATAATAAACATGTAAATACATAATAATAATCAAAGGTTATTGAACTTCTAATTCTTTTTATTTATGAGCATTGTAGACGTAGCAACATCCCAAAGATTTTATTTTGTTTCTAAAATATTTAAAAATTTTCAAAATAGTTTAATTTATAGAACTATTTATTTTTTTAAATTAATTTTTTTAATTTTCCATTTTTCAAAAAATTTTAATTATTTAGGCACATTTGTGTGTGTTATTATGTAAAATATAAAATAGAAACTACAATAAACACTTTAGTTAAAGTGTTAAAATTAGATGACGAACAAACAACCTTGAAAAAAAAGTAGAAGAAATATTCATGAATTTGTCGTTTTTCGTTCTTTTATTTTTGGTGCATGCTTTAAATTGAAAGAAATCGTAAATGTTATATTAGTAAATCTTAACATGGTCAAGAAAAATGAATGTGATCAATTAATAGAAATTAAGAAATAGAAGAATTTAATCAACAAAAATAAAATAAAAACTCAATTCAAGCGGTTATTAGCACATAAATTTTGTATACCATCAAAGTGCTAAAAATACACACAATTCAATCTAATTTCATTATTGACTTATAATGAATGGAATAGAAAAACATTAAAAAGAAGACGGAAAACATTTACCATTGTTATTTTTGTTAAAATAGCTACATTAATTATAATAAATTGAGTATAAAGTGAATTTACAAAAAGAAATAATTTAATATTTTCCTTCTGTTAAATTAGACAAATACACAACATTGAAAAAAAAAACAAATTCTTTGGCAGCCGTATAATTGTCAAAAAGTAAAATCAATAAAAATGTAAGTATTTCAAAATTTTTTTTTCTAAATTTGTCGTAACACGTACGAAAACATAACATTCGACTTATACACAAA